CAATGATGACATTTTATTTTTAACTAGTATAAACAAAGAAGGAACCAAACCAGTAGGATATTTACAACCTCTACTAGTCACATTAACAATGAATTCTCTCCTGCTCGTTAAACAAGACAGGACTCCTGGTGGCTTCTTTTCTTATCCATTTACTTACCATTTGATTTTCTTATAGTCTGACAGAAGTTTTTCCATTAAATGTATATTTTTGGTTGATATTTTAAACACAATCTTGGATTCCCTCAATTGTACTAGATTTTTCAATTTTTCACAAAGATTTACTTTTCCCTTCTTCCAACACAATGCACAGTGCATACCTTCCCCTAAGAGTTTATTTTCATTTATTGTTGAATGCTTAGGATGTACTAATGACTATGTCACTCTCCCTGATGAAAGAATTTATTGTGTTTTTACTTATTTTTGCAAAAGTGCCACATAGTAATGTAATAATGGATTTTGATTTAAGAAATTGCAAAGATTATTATATGAAATGTAATTTAGTTGTGCCAAATAAGTTGGAACTTTGATATGGATTAGGAAAGATGTCTAGGTAAAATAACATTCCATGAATAGGACAAAAAGATTCTGGAGTGTTAGTAAGTTTGATAAAGTTCATATATTAATGACATCTTTAGAAAAGGTTTCTTTTTTGTTAATTCATTTATTCACATGTGCATACATTGTTTGGGTCATTTCTCCACACTGTCCCCCTCCCCCACCCTCTCCCCCCCCCCACTTCCCCCTCCCCACCTCAGTACCAGGCAGGTTCTGTTCTGCCCTTATCTCTAATTTTGTTGAAGAAAAGGCGTAAGCATAATAAGGAAGACAAAGCATTTTTGCTAGCTGGGTTAAGGACAGCTATACAGAGAGAGTCCTAACATTGCTTTTGTGTACCCATGTGTTACAACCCATGTTGATTCAACTCTAACTGATCTTTACACTGGTTCTTGATCCCCTGCTCATGATAACCTGTTGTTTTAAGGTTTCTGTATTAGTTCCTCTGGAGTGGGGACATCAAATGCTTTCACGTTTTGGGTTTTCTCCCTATTCCTATATCTCCTGTATGTGCTCTCCCCTTGTCATGTGATCCAAGTCCAGCCACATTGCTGCATTTTCCCTAGATCTAAAGTCTACATATGAAGGAGAACATACAATTTTTGGTCTTCTGAATAAAGATAAGGAAATGGAGACAAACAGCTGTGTCACAGAAAAAAATTTTCACTTCAAATTGTGAAATAAAGTTGTAGTACATTATGGACAATCAAGCTATTTCATTTATTTAGATTTGAAATTTTCATTTCATATATGATATCAACAACAAATTCAAGCAATTGGTTTTTTAAAAATAAAATTATTACAAAACTCATTTCGTGGTACATAAGTATTTTCATTGATTGATCAAAATTCTGAGAATAGTATGCATTTTAGTGAGACATCCCTTTGTGAGCACTGCTATGTACTTCTTTAGTGTGTGTTGCAGAAGAATAATTATGAGAGGAAGTTTTATATGCATATATATGTACATGTTTCCTCATATATGCAAAAGGATTGCCTGCTTCTTTTTAGTAATATATGTTTGTATATTTAAAAATCAAAGTAAATTACTTCCTATTTCATTTGGTAAAAATTTAAAAGACAAACAAATACCCAATATTTTCTCTTGTTATACAAATTACTCTGATTTTTTAAATGTTTTAATAAAATAATAACCAGAATAATGACTCAAAACAAGTATCTTTCCTTAAGTTAAAGACTTGAATGTATGGCTTGGAAAAAATTTACAAAGCCAATGTATTACTCTGCTATCTAACTTCAAAATAAATTAGTGGAACTAGACTTTGTCTAAAGCCTTTCCTGCCCTCTTCATTAATCATACTTACCTTCCTATGCTGTCTTTCCCATTATAGTTCTTATGTGGCTTTTGAATAATTTCTCCCTCTAAAAATCCTCTCAGCAAACTCAGTTTGCCGGTTCTAGTTCAGGGGTTATTTGAAGATCTCTGGGACTGTCTCCTCTTACTTCAAGTGATCACATGTTTAGTCAGCTCTCCACACTAATTTCAACAAACTATGTCGTTCCTATCTTCACATGCATTTTCAGTCATACAGAATTTCTGTGGAAGGTAAGAAAGAAATTAATTCTTATACTGATTAACTCCTGGTACTACTGCTATATGATTAATAAGAGGTAAATTCATGTTGCTATAGGAATCTTTGATGCATCAGGCTCAGTCATACTTTGTAAGTTCGACCTGTAGGACTACTAAGTATGTATAGATAGTTATGATGTGGAGTCTGTATCTTAAGTGGAATTTACTAGTGGTAAATTAGGAAATTGGAATCTATTTTCCCACTAAAGTGAACTAGAAACCCTGAAAAAAATTGTCTTATTTGAACAAAAATATGAAGAATTTCTGGGTCATGCTATAAGAGGTTAGTCTAGAATGTGGGTCTTCTCTAGGTGAAAATCATTTATGGAAGAATTTGATGACTGAAAGGCTGAGAAAAAGTTGGACATATTTATTAGCCAGTGAAGATTAACATTCAAAATCTTCTAGCTAAGGAGATTCTGAGAAGCTGTCTAGGTGTTTCTCCTGAGCCTTAATACAATAAACCAAGGAATGAGAATGAATGAGAAATAAGCCAGGCCTTAAAGCAACTGAAGTTATTCAAGAACACTAAATCCTCTAATCTTCCATTGGAAAGCCACATTCTGAAGGAAAAAAAACATTCTTCTAGGCTCAAGTGATTCTCTCTCTTTCTCTTTTTGGCAGGGGGTGTAGGGGGAAATTTGTGCTGGTGTTTGAACTCAGAGCTTTGTGCTTGCTAGGCAGTTGCTCTACCACTTGTGCCATGCCACCAAGCTTCTTTCTTTCTCTTTCTCTTTCTTTCTTTCTGATTTCTTTTTCTCTTTCTTACTTTCTTTCCTAACTTTAGTTATTTTTTTGGATAACATATGGCACTTTTTTTTTTTTACCAAGGCTGGCCTTCCACTGTGACCTTTATACTTACACCTCCTGCCCAGCTGGTTTAATAGGAATGTGCTACCATACATGGCTTGTTGATTGAGATGCTGCTTTGTTAACTTTTTATCCTGGATAACTTTGAACTTAGATCCTTCTGATCTTTGCCTTCTAATTAGCTGAAATTACAGTTGTACACTACCATGTGCAGTCATTATTTTTCATATACAATCTGCACAATTATTTATAAAACAACTGGCCAAACCAGAAGACAAAACAATTGTGATGATGGTGGTGGTGTAGGTGGTGGTGGTGGTGAAACAAACCACAAAGAGAATTTTATCCACAGGTCATATTACAAATCAAAACACAAACAGACTTTTAAACTCATATACCTAAATACATAAAGTAAGAGACAAAATTGTTGGCAGTATTGTAATACTAAAGAAAAAAGGGAACACTAGAACTTAAAGTGAACATGTCGTATAAAACACAGAAAAAAGTGTCAGTAAAGCAAAAGTAACTCAAGACAAATCTCTAAAACAGCAGTAAGAAAAGTAGGATGGGAATTTTAAAATATTGACAAGTAATAGAGATTGTAAAAGATCTACACATGAAATTGGAAATTAAACAGGAAAGAACATAATATCAAAGCAGGTACAATGTCTGATGAATAAATGAGAAATACTCATGCAAAATTACTGCATCAAGGCAAAGATTCCAAAGCAATAAACACTTAAGGAAAACACAAATACAGTTATTTCAAAGAGAAAACATTGTTGTAAACAAAGGGCATAGATCCATCACATTTAAAACACCTACAGTAAGATTCACAGTCAACATTCCAGTCAATATTTGGAAGGTAGAATGGAATAAAATAACATTTCCAATGGTCAGAAAGAAAATAAGAGCTAATTTAGAATTATATCGCTTCAAAATTACACTAAAATGAAGACGAAATGAAATTATTTTAGGCAAACAACACACAGGAAATTCATCACCAAGAAAATTACAGCAAAGGAAGTATGTAAGTTTATTATTCACATAAGTCATTATTGATGGAATTTTGGTGATGAAAGATGTGATGAATATAAAAGAAATAGGAAGCATTTGGAGAGTGTTGAATTATATTAACTGTGTAGACCAGTAACTATATGCACACAAAGTTCAAAACATATGAGAAAAAGTATATTCAGATAGTGTATAAATCAGAATATGGATAAATAGACTAAAATTCTTCTAAGATCTTTTATTAATAGAAGAGGAAACACTGCTAATTCATATTAGACTTTACTAATATGAACACCTCTATGGCAATGGCTAATGTTGCTGTAAACATAATAAAAATCAAAGCAGATGAAACATGTAGTAATAGTAATGCAATCAAAAGTAGAAAATTACTGTTGTGAAAGACCTTCAACTCAGGTTGAACTAAAAGATAATATATATAAAATAAAAGACTGAATAGAAACAATAAAATATTGTGTTGAATGTTTATGAATTTAGTGGTATACTTATACTAAAATTGATTATAAGAACAAATTTTTTTGCTATTTCAAAAGGGTAAAATGGAAATTTTAATAATATAAAAAGATTAAGAGAAAAATAATGCTATTTTCTAAGTTGAGTTTTCTGACTAATTTTAAACTGTAGATTTCACAAGGTCTGGGAAAGTGGTGCAGTCACCACAAGCATCCTGCATTTATGAAAGTGGGCACTTAGAAAATAAATGCAGTTATATTGAGAGACAAAAGAAAATCCAGAAAACACCAACTCTGTAACAACAAGGCATACATTCAAATATGATATAAAAATGACAGAAAAATGTTATTATCTATTAAAATAAAATTATAAGGAAATTGAAGAGATGGAACAAGAAATCAGTTATAGACAGTGGAAATGGTATGAAAAACAGATGGAAATTAAATTGTTTAAAATACTTGGCCATGGTAGCATCATATTGAAACATAATTTTTATGACAAGGCATTTCTCTGACTGAATTTTCATAATTGCATGTGAAACCTCATATATTAGCTTCTATTGCTTTTTCTTTCCTTGTATCTGCAATAACATTTTCTTCACACGCTCATAGATTTGCTTGGTCCTGACGCCATATATGACAGGATTGAGCATTGGTGGCACTACAACATAAAGATTGGCCAGGAGTATGTGGATATAGCGGGGCACATTGCGACCAAACCGATGTGTCATGAAGGAAAAGAATGCTGGTGTATAGAAGGCAAGGATGACACAAACGTGAGAACCACAGGTGCTGAGGGACTTCAGTCTGGCTTCCTGAGATGGGAGATGGAATACAACACGTAGTATCTGTATGTAAGACAGGGCAATAGCTATGATGTCAAACACCATATTACATATGGCACATAGGCCATAAACAATATTGATTTTGATATTGGCACAGGACAGTCGAGCAAGACCCATGTGCTCACAGTAGGTGTGGGGAATGACATGATTCCCACAGAAGGGCAATCGCAAAATTAGAAATACAAATGGAATGACAAAAATAATTGCTCTCACTAATACACCAAGACCAATCACAGAAACAATCTTGTTCGTGAGGACGGTGCTATATCGGAGTGGATTACAGATGGCAATATAGCGATCATAAGCCATTGCCAAGAGGACTGCTGACTCCATGAGTGTGAATTTGTGAATGAAAAACATTTGGGTGAGGCAGTCTTCAAATATGATCTCTCTGAGATTAATCCAGAAGATTCCAAGCATCTTAGGGATGGTTGCTGTTGAGAGGCCCAAATCAATGGTAGCCAACATAGCCAGGAAGTAGAACATGGGCTGGTGTAGACTACTCTCAGCCTTGATTACTAACAGGATAGTGAAGTTCCCTATGAGTGCAATCATGTACACAGCACAGAAGGGAAAACCAATCCAGATGTGAAGAGTTTCTAGTCCTGGGATCCCCAGCAACAAGAAGGAAGAGGGGTGAAACTGGGTGCCATTGGAAAGGGGCATCCTGCTTGGGAGTGCATCAGTCCAGTCTTCAGAAGTATATTCTCATCCAATTTACAGGTCACCAGACAGTTTGCTGTATCTGTGGAAACCTGAAGATAATACAAGGAATATTACATTCTTGTGCACATGTTCTTCTGAAAATAATTCTATCAGTTTGAAATGCAGTGTACAGAGCACCTTAGGTAAGTGATATCTCAAATAGAAATCTCTGGAGTAAGTTTTACAGTAAGCAAAAATAAAATGTTCTGCGGGGGACTTTCAACATTACTGGCATCTTCCTCTTCGATAGATTATCAATAGCCTTATCACTAATATTATTTACCTTAATATTCTCTTCATTAGCTATCTTCTTTTATTATCACCATCATTAATAACATAACCCCCTTAAATTTTGACCAACTTGAGTTTCTGGTAGCCCCTAAGTGTAGTGCTGGAAATTTATTATGGGTGACTAAAGAACAACATTTAAGGTAACACACAGAGATTGGGTAACACCACAAACACTCAGATTTATCAAAATTTTTACAAAATATTAGTCACTTTACAAGATTAAAACTGGACTGTTTGTGGTTAGCACCATAGTTTAAACTCAGATTGGGTACAATAGTGAACTAGTAACAAAAACTATCAGTTATTGAGGTAGTGCTTCATGTTTACAAGACTTCACAGTAAACTCTGTGCAACAATCATCTCTAATTAAAAAAATTTCAAAAACATTAATTTTACATTTTTCAATGATTGATTTAAGAATCAAAGACCTTAAGAGACTTGCAGAATTTTAGGATGATTTTAATTGAAAATCTGGGAAATTAAGCTAGATAGGAAAATAGTAAATGGAATTTGAAGAACAATGGAAAGAAATAAAAAGAGCTTTTGCTTTCTATGTAACACTCATCTATCTTCATGTACCTTGCTTAACATTTTATGGGGGAGTGTGATCAAAGAATTTTTTGCAGCATTATGAATAATAACCTTATAGTAAAAATCCTCTCTAATGATCATTGCTGAATCCAAAGAGCAAAGCTATGACTTCAGTTTTGGAAAGAAAAGCCAGGGTATTGTATAGGTATTGGTATAAAGGAAACAATTCCACAAGTGTCTGTGGTAGTTTGTGTGAGGAACTGTGTGACATAGACGGTCAGCATGTGAAGGGAAGCAAAGCCAAGAGCAGGAGGCACTGTTGGCAGGAGGAGCTCTGAGAAAGCTCCAGTTGGAACTGAGGTTATTTCCATGAGGTTATGCCATTGCAATGGAAGTTGGAGTACCTTTAAAAGGTAGGCTAGTGCACAACTGTAAAAGTGGATTGACTGGAGGAAGAATTTTCTGTGAATCCTCTGAGTGCAAAGCAGCAAAAGTTTTTGTTTTTTTCCCCGAGCATACTCATATGTAGCAGTTTCTCAGCTAGTAAGGTATTTACTCTTAGTAATAGATACAGAGCTGATAAATGATCGGTAAATAAGAGACCCTTGAAATCAAGGATGGCTACGATCTTGGGTTTGTAATCACTGTGCTCTTTTCACTTCTCAGAGGCATTCTGTTCATTTGATGTTACTATAGGAACACCCTGATATTGTCTCCTTGAGCTCATACAGACTTGATCCCTTCCTTTTCTATGTTCCTATAAGTCTTATATACATACCATCTGTACTGAAGAATTATTAAAATTGTCACTCACGTTTATGTTTCTGTATCAAACTTATAGTAAGAACACTTACCAAGTGCTTATTGGCAATATAAAAATAAATAAAATATATTGACATCGTAAAAACTACATGTGAAGAGTCTACAACTGTATGCAACAACATGAAAGAATCATACAAAATAACCATAAGAGAAAAAGTCATTTAAATTAAGTTTGAAAATGAGAAAAATGAATATATGGCCTAAGAGGTGAAGACAATTGTCTTGGGTTTGACACTCAGCATTAGTAGGAATTCTGGGGTGCTTTTAGTGTCTTTTTTCTAATTTATATGCTGCATAAATGGGTGTGATCAATTTTGTAAAATTAATTGAGCTGCACATTTATGATGAGCAATTTAAGGATGGAAAATGCAATAAAATGTGCACAATATATGAGTCCTTTAGTGACAGGTGGGATATATTTATTTTTTATCCTCATTAATTAATCTATAATCAATTATTAGAACTCATTGTGTCAATTCATTAGCTAACATAAAAATTATGAATGGCTATGAAAACTTCCTAAGGCTGATATAACTTAAACTCTAATATTATTAGCAAATGTGTTCCATTTTCATCAACTACTTTCCTATTGTTAGTAACAATAGCAACTTTAAAATTGAAGCCTATATTATCATGATGATAAAATTTATATAGACCTTTATACAGTGTTTACAAACAAGGATATTCATGAGAAAAATAAAAATAAATTTATTAAATAAGCTCAGCACCAATATTTTAATTTAAACATACAATCTACTCTTAAAACTAATGAAGGGGAATTTCTCAGAATTTTGAGACACTCTGATTGATACATACAATGAAACTTCCCAATCACATGATTAAATGCCTTCCATAAATATTGACATTGTCTCATTTGCTGATACCTGTAACTACAGAGTTAGATAATTTCATTTTTTTATAGGTTTTAGAATGAATATTAGAGTATTATACTTTTCTGATTTTCTCCCTTGCTCTTTAGTTTCAGCTTTACAGTCTTCTTTAAATACATGTATTCTGCTGACCATTCATTAAAAATTGGTGATTCTCACCATTTGACTTTAGCTCCCATTTTCTTTTCCTTCTGACTTCCCCTCTCTGTCCCTTTGCAAAAAGACAATAGTATACTTTTATTGTTCAAAAGAAAACTGCCATACACAAGATTTGAGAAACTTGGGAATATGGATGAAACTTGTGAATATGGATGAAAACCCATGTGGATTTCAGGGTTATTATTCAACTTGAGGATAGTGATAAGAGTGTAAGTAATGTTATCAGCAATTACTCAATTTTTAACATTTAGCATGCTCATTGGGTACAATACATGGCTCCTAGAAAAAATTATCTGACCATCAAATATTATTTTCAGAAAAAAATGTAATTGAGCAGACCAATTCTAAGTATCATTTTCTGAATATATGAAACCACATAAAATATTGCTAACAATTACCAGAAGACATTAAAAATGAAATTATCAGATACTCACTTCATCCGTACAAATTCTAAAATTGGACTCTGTGCAGGGATAGCATGGAAATTTATGAAATATTCCATACTTTTAAAATATGTTATGTATATAAAAACTTTCAGCCATAAAGAATGAAATCCTGTTATTTGCAGAAAAAATAACGGAACTGGACAACATAAATGCCAAATTAAATAATCCAAACAAGACAAGTATTTCATGTCTTCCTCACACATGGAAACAAGCAAACAAAAAAGACCTGAAAGTGGAATGGAAAATATTAAAAACTGAGAGTGGCCCAGGGGACTGAGGAAGATAGGGAAGTAGGAAGAGAATAAATGAGGAGTGCATGGACATGATCAATAAACAAAATATACATGTATGGAAATAAAATATCACAGTGGATCCTATTAATTGGTATAATTAATATGTGTTAATAATTATAATAAAAAGTAAGAAAATCCAGCATTATATTTTTTCTGAAAAAAAAGTGTTACCCATTTTACATGCTCTATGAAACATTCTTCATATATGAAAATCTACTCTGAATAAAATTACACTCTTAAAATCATTAAGCTAAATTCTCAGTAAAAACTACTATTTTTCTACTTTTAGGGAAAAGCTTTCCTTTCAGAATTGCCCTTGAGAAACTTATGTATATGACTTCTTCAAGCTGTGCAGGATTAGTTTCTTCTGAGTTGCTTTATTTTGAACATCGAGTTACTATCCAAAAAACCCATACTTCAACAATCAGTGCTAATTGGGCATAATTAAGGAGGTCTTCAGACAGAAATGGTTTTACATAGGAAAACTAAGAAGTGAAACATATTTACTCACTATCTTACCACATACTGTATTACGTAGTACACATTTGTGTATTATTAAACTATACACTATATTATATATACTACATATATACACACACTAGAGATAATATGTTATGTGTATATAAAATATACATATACACTAACAATTGAAAAACTTGTAATAAGATAGTATTTTTGCCAAATGGCTTTTATAGCACTGGCACTTAAACATATATGTTAGGTATTTTATAGAAGCACCATATATCAACCCATTGAAAACTCATTTATCTATCTATATCTTTCTATCTATCTATCATCTACCTATCTATCAATCATTTATCTATCACTTACTGGTTTAACCCATCTACCTGTCTGTCTTCATTTTGCTTGTTAATAATAATTAGATATCTTGAGATTATTTCTTTTTTAACACTTTAAACCTTCATAAAGCCACAGCAAACAGTTAATAATTTATCAATTATGATGGCTTTCACTGAAGAGAATTTCTATTAAATATCCAGGAAGTAGATATCCCCAGTATTACCTTATCTTCATTATAAAATGAATTGGCTAATTATTGCAATGAGAAAACATCCATTACATGTCTTTGGTTGAGTTAGCAATACACTTTATTTTTTCTTCTATTTTCCATTTTATTTGTAGTGATTTTGCATGGCTTCTGACCCTTCCTATATTCATATAGGTCTACCATATATAAGCATATGTAAACTAGCTCTAATTTTTCTAGAAAATAGCCATTGAAAGTTTTATTTGTTACTAGTTGAATAAAAACCCTTTGGGATATAGGTTGAATAGTCAAATATCTACTTGCAAAATTCAATATATAAAATTGGTGAGTGCTGATTTCAAATATGTATAACAAAGTATATATTAATTTATAAAGCTGTCTTGTTGCATTTCTGGATTTTATGAATAAGTTTATGTAAACTCTTTATAAGCCAGCATTTACAAATATTCACTTACTTTTGGGTCTGTGGACATTTTACTTCATGTCACAGGCCCATAATTGCACCACAACAGTGCAGTCT